TAGCGCGCCTACGCTTCCACATAATGTAAGAAGAAGAAGAAGAAGAAGACGAAGAAGAAGAAGAAGAAGAAAATGTACCTGTGGCGCGCCGGCGAGCGAGGGGGCTGGCTTCACTGCACGACGATGACGATGATGATGACGACGGCGACGGGCGGGCGGGGGGGATGGCTTCGCTGCACGACGATGACGATGACGACGGCGACGAGCGATGACGGCGGGGGCGTTGGCCTGTTGACGGGACGGCTAGCGAGTCCGGGGGGGGGGAGGAGGGGGAAGTCCTAGGCGGGAGGGAACAGCAGCTCCTCCAACTTTCAAACAGGGAGGCCTCATCTGGGCCGCCGATCTTTCGAGATTAGCGGTCCAGAGAGGCAGCCCTTTTCGAAACTTGGAGGCTGCCCTACTGGACCTGTTTCAATTTTTTTTAGGGCCAGGAGGCCCCCACAACCCGCGTGGGAGCCTCCTGGCCCAAAAAAAAATTGAATCGGCCAGTATTTGCCTGGGCGCTATATCCGACCAGAGGGCTACCGGCCCGGTTCCGGTTGGGGGTGGACCCCCCGGTGGGACCGGGTTTACAGCCCTGGTGGCATTGTCTTTCATTGTGAATTTGCACTTTCGGAATGACCAGGATCGTAACAGTGGTTATGATCCTGGCTATTTCTGGAGTGCAATAACACAAAGAACGACGATGTCCTTGTTGCGAATGAAATGAAAGAACTCGGAAAGAGCAATAGACAAAGGAAGAAGAAGAATAAAGAATGGAAGAAGAAGAAGGAAAGAGAAATAGACAAAGAAAGAAGAAGAATAAAGAATGGAAGAAGAAGAAGAAGAAGAAGAAGAAGAAGAAGAAGAAGAAGAAGAAGAAGAAGAAGAAGAAGAAGAAGAAGAAGAAAGAAGAAGAAGAAAGATTGGAAGAAGAAGAAGAAGAAGAAGAAGAAGAAGAAGAAGAAGAAGAAGATGTAATGACCCGCCATAACACAGACTGAGAACACTGCTGATTTCTTAGTTCTGCCGCTGGAATGGTTGCCTTGCGGAGATTCCCGCATTCTGCTGAGTTTTCTAAGTCTGTATGTGTGTACGTGCTTGAGGGTCTGTGTGCTTGTCTGCGTGCTTGCCAGCCTGAGCGTGTGTGTGACACTGCGACCCGCATGGGTACTTGCTTGCTTGGGAGGCCCGTAGGGTCGGTACTTACCTGTGGCCGTGACTTGGAGGGGAAAGAGGCACGTGACACTTAGAGCAGCGGAAAAACACTCAAGTAGCAAATAGGCCGGTACCACACCAAGGAGAAGTAGATGTGCCAGGTACTCGAAGCCGAGTAGAAGAAGACAAAAGTTGGCATTTTTAGAGGCCCAGTAGTAGTAGGCTAGGCCTAGGCGGGTACCACTCCAACCAGTCTGAGTCTAGGGCCTGTACAGAAAATATCAGAGTCTGCAATGACATTTCCCTCTGAAAGGGAGGAGGTACCGGTTGCTTGGGAGGCCGAGCGCCCTGGAAGTCACCGCCCAAGAGGCAAGTAGGCCACTATATCTTTGGGCTGAGCCAAGAGCTCAGCCTCATTCTTCGGTGTGCAAGTTTGGCGACACACTGCTTGGAGCGTTGGCTGGAGGAGCGCCGGGCACTGCAACGCTGCTAGGAGAAAGGAGCCCGGGAGCTCCCACCTCGGCTATGGTGGAGCTCTACCGGTAGGAGAAAGAGGGAGAAGAGACTGAGGAGGAGAGTGGCGAGGTACCTACCTGGCTATGGTGGACACCATCTTCATCACCTTGATAGGCGCTGCATCTGGAAGGCCCCAGTTGGGGTAGTGCCGCACCAACGAAGCTCGTGGCAGAGTCAGGCATGGCAGCTTGATGAGCAGCGACATAGTTGCTTTGTGTTGTCCTTTGGACAGGAGGGCAGAGCCCTTAGTAGCCCACCATAGCCTTGGCCTACATGAAGAGGAAGAGGAAGGATGGTCATGGCTATGGTGGACCTCATGTTGTGCCTGCAGTAGAAGAGGGATTCGACATTGATTCTGGTTCAGCCATTCAACATTATTATTGTCATTTCTTGTTTGAATAAGAGGCGAGGAGATCAGGAGGAGGAGAGTGGTTGGCGAAGAAGAAGAGCATTATCATTGGTCTATGCTGGTGTACATCATCTTCTTCTTCTTCTTCTTCTTCTTTTCCTCTCTCTCCTCTCAAGTCCATTCATTTCTTTTTGCAATTGGACGGCATTGTACTTTCTGATGAATGTGTACTTCGAAATTGGCCAGGATCGTAACAAAGAACAGCAAAGACCAATGTCAAATCCCCCTTGAACTCGCCATTACCTTCAACCTCCTTACCTCTCCCAACCTCTTCAATACAATAAATAATAACAATGAATGAAAGACTGAACCAGAACCATTGTCTGAATCTCATCCCTACTGCCAGCAACACATGAGGTCCACCATAGCCATGACCTACATCTTCTACCTCCTCTCTATGGTAGGTCGTTATGGCAGACTAGTGGAGGCTTGCCCCGATGTTCAAAGGACAACGCAAATCTGATATGTTCCCCCTTCTATGTCTTTGGCCCTCTACTAGGTCAGGTTCATGTAAAGTTAGGACATGCAAGCATTGCATTGCGACAGTGCGAAATGCAAAGCATTGCATTGTGCCAGTTGTGATGACCCGACCAAACACGGACTGAGACACACAGCTGATTTCTGAGTTCTGCTCATGGACTGAATACCTTGCTGAGTTTCCCGCTTGCTACTAAGTTCTCTAAGTCTGTGTGTGTGCCCGCTTGCTGGTCTGCATGTCTGTCTGAGTGCTTGTTGGCTTGAGTGTGTGTGTGACCCACAAGGGCACTTGTTTGTTCGTTGGGCCCTCAGGGCCGGTACTTACCTGTGGCCGTGACATTGAGGATTGCAGCGGGGAAAACACTCAAGTGGCGGGGGAAGAGGCCCGCAACACTTGAAGCAGCGGGGAAACACTCAAGTAGCAGGTAGGCCGGTACCACACCCTGAAGAGGTAGATGTGCCGGGTACTCGAGGCCGAGCAGAAGAAGACAAAAGTTGGCATTTTTAGAGGCCGAGTAGTTGTAGGCTAGGTCTAGGCTGGTACCAGTCCAACCAGTCTGAGTCTAGGGCCTGTACGGGCAATATCAGAGTCTGCAACGATGTTTCCCTCCGAAAGGGAGGAGGTACCGGTTGCTTGGAAGGCCGAGCAGCCTGGAAGTCACTGCCCAAGAGGCAAGCAGGCCGCTATATCTCCACGCAGGGCAAAGAGCCCAGCCTCATTGTCGGTGTGCAAGTTTGGCGACACACTGGTTGGAGTGCTGGCTGGCGCAGCGCTAGCATTCACCAGCGCTGCTGGGAAAGGCGCAAGAACACGGAGGAGGAGGAAGGCCACGGCTAGGGAGGAGCGCCAGAGGTACTTACCTGGCTATGGTGGCAGCCATCTTCATCACCTTGGTGGGCGCTGCAGCAAGAAGACCCCAGTTGGGGAAGAGCTACACCAAGAAGCTTCGAGGCAGAGTCAGGCATGACGGCCTGAGCTAGAGAAGCCATAGCTGCTTTGAGTTGTCCTTTGGACATCAGGGCAAGGCCCTAGTAGTCCGCGATAGCCTCGGCCTATGAGAGTGAAGAGTGAGAGAGGCGCCCATGGCTATGGTGGACCTCAAGTGATACCTGCAGTAGAAGAGGGATTCGTACATTGATTCTGGTTCAGCCATTCAACATCATTATTGTTATTTCTTGTTTAAATAAGAGAGGAGGAGATAAGGAGGAGGAGAGTGTTTGGCGAAGAAGAAGGGCATTATCATTTGTCTATGCTGGTGTACATCATATTCTTCTTCTTCTTCTTCTTCTTCTTCTTCTTCTTACCCTCTCTCTCCTCTCAAGTTCATTCATTTCTTTCTGCCAATTCGACGGCATTGTACTATCTGATGAATGTATACTTTGAAATTGGCCAGGATCATAACACAGTGTGAAATGCACGCATTGCATTGTGCCAGTGCGAAATGCACGCATTGCATTGCGCCGATGCGAAATGCAGGCATTGCGCCAGTGCGAAATGCAAAGCATAGTGCCAGTGCGAAATGCAAGCATTGCGCCAGTGCGGACTAGTGTGCGGATGGTTTGCGATGGCAAGAAACAGCATCGTTATGCATGCAATCAGCAAGACCAGGCATGGCATGGACCATGGTGGCATTCGTCAGAGCCATGCAGTTATGATAGAAATACAAAATCATGAACAAATATAAGGTTCATTAAATTTTATTTATATAACAAAAGTCAGGGGGCTCAAACAGAGTCCCAGGCGCATAGACCTGGAACCCATCCACTTTGATGGATGTATTCAACTCCAATTATTGGCCACATTCAGTTCAAAATGTCCCAGTGTGAGCATGGCCTTACCCATGTCTGCCTCCTTGCAGTGTGTCTCGTCGACCAGGCAATCAGCCAACAGCTTGTCTGCTTCTGTGATCTGGCTGTTTATTGTCCGTGGATTGCAAAGAGGCTGCAAGACAGAAAGGGAAAAAAAAAAAAAAAAAAAAAAAAGACACAAGAAAATAAGCATGAAGTACGATGATGGCCTACTACATCTCATCAACCAACCAAACCCATAATAGCTTGCCCCGGAAAATGACAAAAAAAAAAAAAAAAAAAAAAAAAAGACACAATCACCACAGGTCCACAGGTAAGCATGGTAGCCCAGATGGTCTAACCTCTGGCGTAGCGACACAGAGGTTGCTGGTTCATTTCCAGCCGGCTGTCATCCTCTCCTGCGCATGCTCAGTTGGTGTCATTAGAATGACACCCAATGTACTTGCCCGCCAGCCTAGGGGGGGAAGGGTAGGGTCACAGGGTGGTCTCGCTCAGGGACCATAGGGGGAGCACACTATCCTTGGGGCATCTTCATGGAGGAGTTGATGCTTCACAGGGAGGAGTTTAAAGCACCAGTACACCACATATCAGCCCGCGGGTGCCAGCATGAAACCCGCACCACTTTGGAGGCCGCCAATTTTTTTTTTTCAACGGCAGGCCTGGCCGCGCGGCACCTCCGAGTTTTGCTTGTGGTGACAAAAACTTTCTGCGAGTCTGGGGCCGTGTGCTATGGTTTAAAAGCAGATGGGCGATTATTCCACCCCGAGCCATACCTGGGTGGCAGGGGGGGGGGGTATAAGGAGGAACAAGGCAGCGGGGGTAAGGGGGCTAGAGGGCTACCTTCTTCCGCCGAACACAACACATATGCATTGTATTCGAGTTTCAAAATTTGAAAACAAATCGAATAGAACACATGTGCGTTGTATTCGAAATTCAGAGCTATTCGAATAGAACACATATCCATTGTATTCGAATAGAAAGCACCCTATGCATTGTATTCGTTTACAACGCATATGCGTTATGTTCGGGGGAAGAAGGTAGGGTAACCCTACGAGTATAGTAGCTCTGTGAAGGCATTATCATGATGGGGGAGGAGCAAGAGCAGATTAGGGGTGTGATTTACCTTGGATCACAGTACGTTCCCAAAATTTTAATAGAATTCCCTCGAAGATAACGGATCCAGTGGGTTGCGGGGTAATATCATGAGAGAGAAGTGTGTGCTCAGCTTGGTGGGTGAGCTGGGGCGCAATGGGGGTAGCTCATAGAACCCATGGATTGAACATCTATGGGGTACATTGGGCACATACGACCTCATCACATACGATTGCGAAATGATGATTATAATCAGATTATTACTAGGCTACCAGCCGGGCCGCCAGGGTCACCCTATTTTCCCGGGTGGCCCGGCCGTGCAAGGACCAGGGAAGGTCCCAGCCAAAAAACAAAAACAAAAATCCAAAAAATACGGAAAAAAAACTATGTTATGCAGAAAAATAAACTGAACAACTCTTGCTGCAGGGTCACATCGAAATTCCTTACCAAATTTAAAATAAAAATTTAAATAATAATTTTTATTTTTTTATTTTCTAGGCTACCAGAGAGGCCCGGGTCCACTTGCCCGGCCGGGCCAAAAAGGTATTAAAAAAATAATTTTTTTTAATTTAAATTTTATTTTAAATTTGGTAAAGAATTTCAATGTGACCCTGAGGCAAAAGTTGTTCAGTTTATTTTTCTGCATAACAAAGCTTTTTTTTTTTCGGATTTTTTGGATTGTTTTTTGTTTTGTTTTTTTTGGGCTGGGACCTTCCGTGGTCCTTGCACGGCCGGGCCGCCCGGGAAAATAGGGTGACCCGGGCGGCACGGCTGGTAGCCAAGTTTATTTTTTTATTTCTTTTTGGCATGGCCAGGCAAGTGGACCCGGGCCACTCTGGTAGCCTAGGATTATTATTATTATTATTAAAAAAAAAAAAAAAACAAGCCCGTCACATATGACTGAGGCTACGGACTTGGCAATACAGATAGATGACACACAGCTAAGGGGGTGATTATGACTGGGGGGCATCATGGTTAGCTCCTCACATATGTGCTGGGGTCAACCTAGCACATATATTTATACATTACAGAGTACAGCTTATGTACACATTGATTGAACAAGGCACACATACAAATCAACAGACTACAGAATATAAAAAAATTCAAAAAAAAAAAAGAAGAAAAAACACAGACTAGAGACTACATACCTAGTCAGACAAACAAACAGAATAGTCAAGTTGGCTGCGCTACGGTCTTGCCCAGCGAAAAAAAACAAGCGGCCATTATAGCTGTATTTGGGGCAAATTTCAGTCCCGATACAGTGATTACGTACAGGTGATTATGACTGTACACTCTATTCGGATGAAGATAGTAGTGGGTGTGTACTAAGGGTAGGTCCCAGGCTGTTATAGGTTTAGACCTTTACCTGGTCGGGGGGCATTAGACACTGCCTGGTAAAAGGGATATTGTTAGCTCAGTGCCTTTTTTGTCCCTTAATTTTATTTATTTATCTCTTGTTTATTTATTTATTTATTTATTTATTTATTTATTTATTTATGGGTAAGTTTCAAAAATCGCACGTCGCGGTAGTTTTCACAGCATTTTTATTCTTATTTTTTCAGCAAATTTTTTGGCAGGGCCCAAGTTTCGTTACCAAAGCATATCTTTGGGTGAAGCTTTAGAGGTCCCAGTGGTTTCACAGCGAAAAATATTTGCAGGCGGGGTCCCACTTTCCTTGCAAAGAAAATAGATCTTTCGGACCCGTACAACATTTCTGCTGTGAAACGTTGAAAATGCGCTATTTCTGCAATTACCCCTTTATTTATTTATTTATGGAGAAATCGTTGGAATGCCCCTGAAAGTTGGGGTATTTTGTCAGATACCCCTAAAAGGCATGGGTATGTCGAAATGCCCCCACGACAGTAGTGAAACTTTGCAAATAAACCCAGTCACCAATTGCACTTGTCATCATTTGCATATACCCCCACTGGGCCCTGGGCAAGTTGTCTATATGCCCCCATATTTCTGGCCGTTAGACCCTGCAGAGGGCAAAAGAAATGCAAGGGCCCCTGCATCCCAGCGCCAGGGCATATGGCAAAGTTGGCAAAGTTGCCGATGAGCGGGACAGAGGCAGATGCAGAAGTTTGGGGCATTTCAGCACACCCCTGTGTTTTAGGGGTATCGAAGAAATACCCAATGTTTTAGGGGTATCTGAAGAAATACCCAATGTTTTAGGGGTATCTGAAGAAATACCCAAACTTTTAGGGGTATTTCAACAATTTTCCCAAAAGAGAAACCCAAAGACCGCAACCGATTAAGTAATTATACACTATCCCACTAGTGATGAGTAACCACATGTACCTTGCCCTCTACAACACCCTGGGCTTTCAAGAAAAAGAAAAAAAAAAACGTGCGTGATTTCATGAACCAAAAGATTTGGTCTCGATTTCATGCACGTTTGGGATCACCACAGGACCCCCACAGCAAAAAAGAAAGAAAAACCTACCAATGGGAGAGCAAAAAAAAGCATCCTTTCCCCGGGCTTAATTCACAAAAACAGGCTACCACTGATTTCCTGCCAAATCCACAATATCTGACATTCACACACCGTAAACACTAATCCACATACACTCCACATAAACCCTTTCTCCAAGATTTGGTAAATCTGTGTATCTTTGAGTAGGCAGCCATCCCGATACTTCAATTAGACCTTGAGGTATCATTTCATCATTGAACTGACCGGCCCCAGGTAATTCAGAAGGATTGTTTTCTGGTCATCTGATTGTATCTGGATTCGAACCTGGGTCTGTATTTCTAGCAGCTCACGGGTGTACCAACTGAGCTAGGCCCTTTTTTTTTTTCTTTTTTTTTTTTTTGGACCATTTCTCGATTTATGTGTGTCATCCTTGCGCAGGGGCCATGCTAATCTTCTCTGTATCGTTCCAATTTTAACAGATGTCCCGAAGGACAGCTAGGCCCATTTGTCATTATTTTATTCTTTTAAAATTCAAAGACGCAAACCTTCTTGGAGCAATGAGGCTAAGGCCACACTCACACTAGGACTTACACTAGTGAATCTGGACGTAATTGCAGTCAGATGCGTCTAGGAAAGTCCCAAGTGTGAGAATATATCCCAGTCAAATGAAAAAAGTTGAACTCACCTTCAAATTGCCACATTCTGGCTGTCTCGGATTTCCTTCCTTTGTTTCAGAAATCAACTCAGCACGGTACTCGTCGTCGTTCAGATCGTCGTCCGCCGCAGCAGAGATTTCACTAGAAATGTTGAGGCTACTAGAAATGTTGAGGCTACTAGAAATGTTGACATCACTAGTCGAAGGGTCGACGTCGCTGCTGTCCGGTTGCAGCCTAACTGTTGCATGACCTGTTCTCCCTGCAGCAGTGCGATTGTATATGGCGCGAAACTCGCCAACTTRAAATTGTGAGTCAAGCTCCGCGGATCCCTTTCCCGCCGTATCAACACGATTCAATGGCCTGGACTTCCCCTCGTCGGTATTGTTACGACTGCCACGAGGATCATCATCAACCCTCCTCCGCCAAACAGCAACCACTTCGCCATTGCTTTCGTCTGCAGATGGAATGTCGTCTTCTTCGCTGATAACCATCGCGCTCATGGACGGAATAAGTTTCCCAAATGGCAGCCAAGGCAGCTGTGTAAGGCATGCAATCCCCCAAGAAAAGCACCTCCCATAAGTCAAAAAAGGGTCACTAAAATGGGGGAACGGCAAAGCGCAATGAGAAATATCACCACAGGGCTTAGCTCAATGGTACACCCATTAACTTACTGTTGAAATGCAGACCTGAGTCAGTAGTAGCGGGAGCTGCTCATATCACCCCACCTACGACGGACTGACGAGTCTTTTGAAAGGCTTTCCACGATTCAGACCCCAAGTTCGGGTTTCAGGGTCAGAGGCCTGGGCCAAGAAAGGCCAAGTCGCTCAGTTTCAGAAGAGTCACAGTCGGGTACCTTAGAGGTCAAATCCAACAGGCACCCGATGAACAGTCACATCCCAGGAGTGAAAGTCACGTCTCTTTTTTTTTTTTTTTTTTTTTTAAGTCACGTCTCATATTAAAGAGCCATATTGAAAAGTCACATTCCGAAGGCGAAGGACACTTTCCCAGCCAAGAGTCGAGTCCCACAGGCAGGAGTCACAGTCCACAGTCAAAAGTCATGTACACAAGTGAAAAGTCGTGACTCTCTGGCCCAGACAGCAGCACACCATAGGAAATTCGGGGAAGTACCAGGCCCTGACATTCGGAAGCAGACAGGCCGTGGACATGTGGTACCAGGCCGAGGTGAACCAATTGCAGCAGAGCCTGGGACAGCCAAAAGAAGTTCAAAGGCAATATAAGGACTGGCCAGCCTCTCATTTGGGAAGATTGCCCATTCGCAGGAAGCATGGAAGTGCTGGTGCACTTGTGCGCCATTGTGAGGGGCGGAGCGCTGAGCCAGGGTGCTACGCTGAGAGAGAGAGAGAGAGAGAGAGAGAGAGAGAGAGAGAGAGAGAGAGAGAGAGAGAGAGAGAGAGAGAG